AGTCCCTCCAATGTTGGTTCGACCCTCGCACAGTCTGCAAGGGAGTCCCCTTCAACAGCCCCCAGCCCTCCTTGGCCCTAGTAACAGATGCGTCAGCTCTGGGTTGGGGGGTGCATCTGGGAGAGCTCCAGACACAAGGATTATGGCTGCAGGATGAGCTCTCCCTGCATATCAATATCAGAGAGCTCAGAGCAGTACGGCTAGCATGCCAAACCTTCCTATCCTGGCTCCAAGGCCAGAGTGTGCGGGTAATGACGGACAACACCACGGCCATATTTTACATCAACAAGCAAGGTGGAGCCCGCTCTTCCTCCCCCCCCATGTTGGGAGGCCCTTCAACTATGGGAGTTCTGCATAGCCCACTTCATTCACCTGGAGGTGTTCTATATCCCAGGTGTGCAGAACGAACTAGCGGACCACCTCAGCAGATCGTTTCACAATCATGAGTGGGCCATCCATCCGGATGTCATATATTCCAGCTTCCAAAAGTGGGGGTTTCCCCAGGTTGATCTGTTTGCCACCCGGAGCAACAGGAGGTGCCCAATGTTCTTCTCCTTTCAGAAACACAGCCTGAGTTTGATCTCAAATGCGTTCCTGCTGCCCTGGGGAGATGGTCTCATATATGCCTTTCCACCATTCCCACTCGTGCATAGAGTGCTGCTGAAAATCCGCAGACAGAGCTGTAGTAATTCTGCTGGCTCTGGCGTGGCCCTGCCAGCATTGGTACACCACGCTTCTGGAGCTGTCAGTGGACACTCCCATCGTGTTACCATTCTTCCCTGATCTGATCACGCAGGACCATGGTCGCCTTCACCACCTGGACCTCCAGTCTCTCCATCTCATTGCTTGGAAGCTTCATGGCTAAATCCAGTGGAGCTCCTGTGCTCAGAACCAGTAAGGAAGGTCCTGCTCAGCAGCAGAAAACCATCCACCAGGGCCACTTATCTGGCCAAGTGGAAAAGGTTCACTTGCTGATGTGCCCAACATCACAATCCTACACTTCAGGCGTCTATACTACTCATCCTGGACTACCTTCTGCACCTCAACCAACAAGGCCTGGCAGCATCATCCATCAAGGTACAGCTTGCTGCTATCTTGGCCTTCCATCTGGGCACATCTGGACGCTCCATATTCACTAACCGTATGGTAGGATGTTTTCTTAAGGACTTGGAATGGCTATATCCTTGGGTTAGACAGCCTCTTCCGGCATGGGACCTTAACCCGGTCCTCTCCAGATTAATGGGACCCCCATTCGAACCATTGGTGACTTACTCCCTTCTCTACCTGTCATGGAAGGTAGCCTTCCTAGTCACTATCAAGTCAGCCAGGAGGGTGTCAGAGTTAAAGGCCCTTACCTCCGACCCACCCTACATGGTCTTCTACAAGGACAAGGTACAACGCAGACCTCACCCAGCCTTTCTCCCTAAGGTAGTGTCACAATTCCATACTAGCCAAGACATTTTTCTACCTGTCTTCTATCCCAAACCACACAACAGTACCCAAGAGCAAAGGCTGCACTCATTGGATCTTTGGCAGGCATTAGCATTCTACATTGAACACATAAAGTCACTCAGGAGGTCGAACCAGCTGTTCGTGGCAATGGCAGACCTCATGAAAGGACTCCCAGTCTCCTCTCAAAGATTATCTTCCTGGATCACGGCCTGTATCCGCACATATTATGAGCTGGCCAAGGTTCCAGATCCACCTCTTAAGGCTCATTCCTCAAGGGCACAGGCCTCGTCAGCTGCGTTTCTGGCCCAGATCCCGTTACAGGAAATCTGCAGGGCAGCTACTTGGTCCTCAGTGCATACGTTCACCTCTTACTATGCCATTACACAGCACACTAGAGATGATACAGCTTTTGGCAGAGCGGTGCTCCAATTAGCGATTCCTTGACTCCGACCCTACTACCGGGGTAGAGCTTGGGAGTCACCTGATTGGAATCTACGTGAACAAGCACTCAAAGAAGAAAAAACGGTTACTTACCTTCTTGTAACTGTTCTTCGAGATGTGTTGTTCACGTCCATTCCAATATCCACTACTCTGTCAGAGTAGCCGGCAAGAAGGAACTAAGGAGGGGCTGGGTCAGCGGGGTCATATATTGAGCGCCATGAAGGCGCCACTCCAGGGGGCTCCACAGCTGATCCAACGGGAACTGCTTGGGGGGAAATTTCTGGCAACTGTGCACGGGGCACGCGCACACCTGATTGGAATGGACGTGAACAACACATCTAGAAGAACAACAGTTACAAGAAGGCGAGTAACTGTTGTTTTTTTTATATAGTGTAGTCATAATATGTAATGTGTGTCACCTGGACTCTTCAGAGCCTGGGAAGAATGGCTGCATCTCAGTCCTTTCAAACACTTCAGAACCCTGTCAGCAGACAGGCAGTCTGGAAGTCTCCATGGCTAGAAGCATTCAGCCCTTGGACTAGATCTCCTAAGTTGCTAGTGAAAAAGAAATCTGTAGCCTGTATCCAGAGTGGTACAGGTATTGGGACCCAGCCCTCTAGCAGATACATCTCTCAGTTCTGTTGTTCCCCAGTGCACTTTCATTGGCTCAGCTCTCAGAGAGTGGTGACCCGTCAGGCCCCACAGATTGCCCACAATGAAAACTTCCTATACAACTTCAGAAAAAGCTAATGAGCATGTCTAAGTAACTGCCACACCCTATTTCTGGGTCCTTCTAACTAAGTTGCCCTGCACCGCACTCTGTACGTATGGGGAGACGGTATTCTAACTAAAATCCATGTCTCCCCTCCACTGCTTCTCTCTCCTTCTTTGGGACAAACAAGGTCAAATGATGCAGTATAAATAGGGTTGCCAATTTAGGTTGGATGTATTCCTGGAGGTTTCTTCACATGACATAATCTTTAGTTAAAGATTAATCTTTAATTCCTAGAGGCTCCAGGACAATCTTGGAGGGTTGGCAACCATAAGTATAAAGCATGTGGGTTACAGTTGCTGTCTGCTTGTGCCTTTGGAAGGAAGCATAAAATTATTGCTGTCTGAAACTCAGATATCTGCATTATTTTCAAAACCTTTGTGCCAAATATACATCAAAAATATAAATCCTGCAGGATGAAAAATATTTGTGTGATTAAAATCAGTTATTTTCTCTGTAATACAAATTATATTATCTCTTTTGTGGTTTGTATTTTTTTAAATATGAACTACCTTTAAATTTGGTGGGTGTGTAATGAAATATCTATCCAGTGTGTACTGTAAAAGAAACTTTTATTGTACTCTGAAATGATTGTTGCAGACTGTTACATGATATGCTGGGAGGAAGATGTTTTTGAAAAATAAATAAAACTGCCATAGTATAACTTTGATTTCGGTAGCTTTATGTGTGACAGTTGGTGCACTGGGTCACTTTTGGATATGTTTTTTAATTTCTTGGGATGTACTTTGGTGTGCAGAATAAGCTAAACTACCTTGCTTTCTTCATGCATTACTTTGACTTTTATAATGGTGTTGTTTTCTCATCTATGCATGTGCATACCTGCTGCTAACCTCAGTGGAACTTAGTTGCATGCACTTAGCAGGAAGAAATAGACTCCTATGTAGAGCTCTAAATTACTGAATCGCTGCACCCTTTCTCATTGCATTCATGATATTGTGTTGCTCTCTTGCCTGTCTTCATTTTAAATCACTCATAAGGATTGTTGTGTTTTCATACTGCTTCCTTTTCTTTTTAATTCTTTTCTCTTCAGTTTTTGAACTAGTTTCACACCCCCTTCTTCAGAGCATACAGGAAAGCATTTTTCTTAATATATGATGACAATTTATAACATCATCCCTGTAAATATTAAGGGGTGGGATTCTCAGACGTGCTTAAATACCTAACGAAGTTAGGTGGTAACTCACTTAAGTGCTTTTGAAAATCCTTCCCAAACTGCTTAACTTTTATGTAACAGAATTCTGAATAGATTTGTGAAATGTGTGGTTGTCTTTGCATAAAAAGAAGAATCAGGATTGTATGAGTACAAGTGAACGTTTTTAAAGAAAACAATTATACCCATATTGAACTATAACTAACCCTAACCCATAGTATTGCAAAAGTAAGGTCAAGGTTACGTTAAATTGATACTTAGCGTTTAATCTGGTGCTGCTACATTAAATGTTCTGAAAGGTAATTCTGTAACATTTTTGGAGTTAAACTTTTTGATTGCAGAATATGATACCCTAAATGCCTTCATAAGCACATCAAAATGGGATGTGATGGGAACAAAAAATGCTATTTTCAGAAATGAAGGCAGTAATTTAATCATAACAGTGCAGCTGAAGGCAGTTCATTAACATCTGATTATTGTCCCCACTGTGTGTGTCTCGGTTCATGTGAGTAAAAGTTCATTCATCATACTGTAGAAGCTGAGCAAACTATATTAATTAACAAGCTGTTCCTGTTGTCTTAAGTTGCTGTTTAATGGTGCAGTTGTCTACAATTATTGCTTAGCTTTCTTTTTGTCTGACACATGATTGATTTATTGTGGAATTGTAGGGATTTCAGGTAATTTCACTTATCCAGTCTTTGCCGTGTTGTGGCTGTTCCTGTAGTTATTTGCCTTGTGTTGGTTCTAGGGAAGCTGCTCGAGAATGTCGCAGAAAGAAGAAGGAGTATGTCAAATGTCTTGAAAATCGTGTGGCTGTGCTTGAAAACCAAAACAAGACACTGATTGAGGAACTCAAGGCCCTCAAAGATCTTTATTGCCATAAAGCAGAATAACTGTCTTTGACTTGGACCTTGTTTACTATGAACTTTAATCAAGTCATGAGATGAAGCAATTCTACAGATTGCCATGTGAATTTGAGGAAGGGACACTTGTGACCCTTGTGAACCCAGTTTTGCTTAGTGTTTTCAGACTGATTTGGGAAATTGTTCCAAAATTTGGAATGCTGTCATGGTCTCCATACTATACTGAGCTTTCTTCAATCTGCATTTTCTAATAGCTGCAAATGGCGTTTTTGTTTGCACTCTTTACTTCTGCTTTTTGCAGGGAAGCTGCTAAAGAATGTCGACGTCGGAAGAAAGAATACATAAAATGTCTGGAGAGTCGTGTTGCAGTGCTAGAAGTTCAGAACAAGAAACTTATAGAGGAGCTTGAAACCCTAAAAGACATTTGTTCTTCCAAAACAGATTAGTAGAAATATTTATTATGCTGTGAACTGATTACAACATGTCCAGTTGCTTTTGAAGACAATACCTAGCCAATAAGAATTACGACTTTTTCTTTGTGTCATTTATCTTATACTGCAACCCCTAACATTCCTGAAATACTTTTTTGCATTTTGTAGATTCTTAGATATAACTTCATTTTTTTTCCAAAGGAGACAAATTTTAAAGTGTGTGTAACATGGTTAAAAGTGCAACATTTATAAGAGCTGTTCCATTGCCATATATTTGCATTTACTACTTTTTACGTGTTATTGATAGTGTCCTACACACAAAAATATTGTACAGGTGTTTTAAAGTGAATTATCAAAGATAATGCATCCAGTAATACAACAAAATTAAACTACCCAAAGTATCTCAGGAAAGAGTTTATATAAAGTATGTTATGATTACACAAATGTATTAGAATACTAGACTATAAATTAATTTATGGCCAATTTTTCTTAGTTGCTTTGCCAAGAAAATATTGTATTGCTGTCACTGAGTGCCATGGTTGAAGACAGTTTTTAATAGAACCATGTTGTTTACTCTTTGTAGTATTTGTTGTTTGTTTAAACTGTTTTTAAACTGATGGTGTGATATGAAAAATACCTCGGAGAAGGTTTTAGTATAAACTTTATATAACTTAAGCAAGCTCCTCAATATTATAATATAAATATTTTAAACACCTGGATGAAGTTACAAATGTCTGTTAGATGGCTCCTTGTTACTTCTACTTCAAGCATTATTCAAAATATCTGATGTATTAGTGGATTATGTATCAGAATTGACTTTGCATCCTGAATGCTAACTGATCAATGTTCTGAACAGGACCAAACTGTTCATTATAATGGGGGCTGAGATGTGGAATCCTTTTTGGTTTTTCTATGAGATGGCAAAAGGGACTGAAGATTTTTTTTTTTTTTTTTTTTGTCAAGGAGGCTCTGCAGCCAGCACTAGCTCTCTGCTGACTTATGGTGTTCCACAATGGCCTTTAAGTGCTGAATGTTTTTAAAAATAAATCCATTCCAAATTGGTTGAAATTTCTGGTAAACTCAACTTTCCATTGTGCCTTGGTGGAAAATAATGCTTAAATTATTACATGTTTATATGACTATTTTATAAAATAGATAATGTTGTGGGAGTGATCTAATTGTTCAGTGTTAGGTCCAAGTTGTGAGTAAAAATCTTTGGACATATCATTGTAACTGGTCACCCACATTGCCTTACTTATAAAAAGTCAGGGAAGAAAAATTTCATTCCTGTTTAATTTGTTTTACTGAAAATAGAGGATGAAATCTTGCCCCTCCCCCATTCAAAACTCCCATTGACTTCAGGGGGCTCAGGATTTCATCCAAGGACTGAAAGTAGGGAGAACATAAGAATGACCATACTGGGTCAGACCAAAGGGCCATCTAGCCCAGTGTCCTGTCTTCTGACAGTAGTCAAGGCCAGGTGCTCCAGAGGGAATGAACAGAACAGGTCATCATCAAGTGATCCATCCCCTGGTGCCCATTCCTAGCTTCTGGCAAATAGAGGCTAGGGACATCATCCCTGCCCATCTTGACTAGTAGCCATTGATGGACCTATTCTCCATGAATTTATCTAGTTCTTTTTTGAACCCTGTTATAGTCTTGGCCTTCACAACATCCTCTGGCAAAGAGTTCCTATCCTTCCCTATGTCATTGGTATCTACATGACCACCGACTCCTCCCCAGCACTACATATAAGTCTATCTAGATGTCTTGAGAGATCCGCAACCTTCGCACCAGGCAGCCAAGTCACTATGCAATTCTCCCGGTCATCACAAACCCAGCTATCTATGTTTCTAGTGATCGAATCCCCCATAACTATTATCTGTCTCTTCCTAATAACTGGAGATACCTCATAGACTCATAGACTTTAAGGTCAGAAGGGACCATTATGGTCATCTAGTCTGACCTCCCGCATGATGCAGGCCACAAAAGCTGACCCACCCAATTTCCCTGATCTCAGCTGTTGAAGTCTCCAGATCGTGATTTAAAGACTTCAAGTCGCAGAGAATCCTCCAGCTTGCGACCCCTGCCCTATGCTGCGGAGGAAGGCGAAAAACCTCCAGGGACTCTGCCAATCTACCCTGGAGGAAAATTCCTTCCCGACCCCAAATATGGCGATCAGTAGAACCCCGAGCATACAGGCAAGATTCTCCAGCCCGACCCACATTTTACCAGCAATGGCACGTTATTGCCTAATTGACTAAAATCACGTTATCCCATCAGACCATTCCCTCCATAAACTTATCTAGCCTAATCTTGAAGCCAGAGAGGTCTTTCGCCCCCACCGTTTCCCTCAGAAGGCTGTTCCAAAATTTCACCCCTCTGACGGTTAGAAACCTTCGTCTAATTTCAAGCCTAAACTTCCCCACGGCCAGTTTATATCCATTCGTTCTTGTGTCCACATTAGTACTGAGCTGAAACAATTCCTCTCCCTCCCTGGTATTTATCCCTTTGATATATTTAAAGAGAGCAATCATATCCCCCCTCAGCCTTCTTTTGGTTAGGCTATACAAACCGAGCTCCTCGAGTCTCCTTTCATAGGAAAGGTTTTCCACTCCTTGGATCATCGTAGTGGCCCTTCTCTGTACCCGTTCTAGTTTGAGTTCATCCTTTTTAAACATAGGAGCCCAGAACTGCACACAGCACTCCAAATGAGGTCTCACAAGCGCCTTGTATAACGGAAGCAGCACCTCCTTGTCCCTACTAGAAATACCTCGCCTAATGCATCCCAAGATCGCATTAGCTTTTTTCACAGCCACGTCACATTGCCGGCTCATAGTCATCCTGTGATCAACCAGGACTCCGAGGTCCTTCTCCTCCTCTGTCACTTCCAGCTGATGCGTCCCCAGCTTATAACTAAAATTCTTGTTAGTCATCCCTAAATGCATCACCTTACACTTCTCACTATTAAATCTCATCCTATTATTATTACTCCAATTTACAAGGTCATCCAAGTCTCCCTGCAGTATATCCCGATCCTTCTCCGAATTGGCAATACCTCCCAACTTTGTGTCATCCGCAAACTTTATCAGCCCACTCCTACATTCGGTTCCGAGGTCAGTAATAAATAGATTAAATAAAATCGGACCCAAAACCGAACCTTGAGGAACCCCACTGGTGACCTCCCTCCAACCTGACAGTTCACCTTTCAGCACTACCCGCTGCAGTCTCCCCTTTAACAAGTTCTTTATCCACCTCTGGATTTTCCTATTGATCCCCATCTTTTCCAATTTAACCAATAATTCCTCATGCGGTACAGTATCAAACGCTTTACTAAAATCGAGGTATATTAGATCCACCGCATTTCCTTTATCTAGAAGGTCTGTTACTTTCTCAAAGAAGGAGATCAGGTTGGTTTGGCACGATCTGCCTTTCGTAAACCCATGTTGTAATCTGTCCCAATTGCCATTCCCCTGGAGAGGTATCCTCAGTGCGAGAGGATACCATGACATCCTCTGGAAGGAGGGTCCCAACTATGGGATTGTTTCCCTCTGCTCCAAAACCTTGGATTAAGTATTTATGCAACCTGATCAGCTAGACTTCAGAGAATGGGATATCCCAGGCAGATACAGCAGAGGCCTTAATTCTCAGGGCCTTGATTTCTTTGGGTTTAGAAGCCAGTGTTGAGTAACTACAAGGTTGTGTTTTTGGGAGAAGAAATTTCCATTCCACTGTATCTTCCCAGAGCACACTACTATAATGGGAAACATAAATCATGAATGGGATCAGCAAAACTGATACTTCAAAGTCCTTGAAATGCAAATAACTAGTTTCTTCTCAGTAGGAGGACTGATATTTTTATATTCCTAAATTCCACCCCTACCTCTTAAACAACTTCTGTGTTCTAGTGTAGCCATGAGCTACAGGTCAATTAGCTCCTGATTCTATGTCCTTTCCAGTTGACCTGGCTCTCAAAAGAGCCATACTCAGCAACATGCTTCAGTCTTAATGTGTTCAGTCCTCCCTGATGACTTGGGGCAAGCCTTTGAGATGGTAATGGACTATGTAGGGAATGACTAAAGTAGTAGGATTCCTGAAGGATAACTTTAAGTTCACTTTCCTTTTCTATGCCAATATATTTTATGATGCTTGCATAACATCTACAGTTACGACAGTTGCCATAAAATTACAAAAGTTGTGCACAAAGCATAAAGTGATCACCTGCTGGGTCTGGAAGAGCTCCCTCCTTGCACTGTATAGTATTGGAAAATTAGGTGCATTGTGTGGTTATGCCTGTCTTTGAAGCATCTAGTGTTGGCTACTGTTGGAAACTGGAACAAATGGATTGCATGTCTGTTCCAAGTCTGTACAGCTTGTACTATGGGCCCTCCTTTGTTCAAGATTCTAGAAGACACATTTATTATATGTTCTGTAATTAAAAATTCATTCTTCCACAGGGAAATTTTTTTGTAAACAATGGAAGCTAAACCCAAAGGATTTTCCGATAGGTGGTTATCCTTCTGAAAAACTCTCATTTAGAGATTATTTATTTACTTATCTGCAGCAATGAAAGGTATCATATTTATATACCTTCAGAAAAATCAACCTGGCAAAAAGACTGGTTCTTCTAACTGAAAGAGATTAGAAAAAATGGAGAAACTTCCTGTAGCCTATTGTTGTTAAACTTTCTATAATTTGGATTAGTATAACACAGAATTAATGTTAGGAGAGAATTTAAAAAATACAGGACTCATATTTTTGTAAAACAGAATGAGCCAGTTTCAGATTAACACCTCTTACTGGGACAATTAACATGCAAATGTATGGTTGCTAAGAGAGAACAAAGATCCTGTGACTGTTGGAGAAGGGAAATGCTTATTTGGAAATAAGATGCAAGGATGGGTCTGGAGATAACTATATGTATATGCTCCCACAGAAGGAATCTGGGTTGTCAAGGTGATAAAGAAAAAACAGGAACCACAAATTGACGATTCAAAACAGCAAATCCAATCCTGAATGGATTCAGGACACATATAATGAACATTTCATAAGAGACTGTCATATACTTCTCCAAGATTACATTTATGTAAATATATTTGTGGAGGAGGTTACAGGGGGACCGATCAAGGTACAACTGTGGCATCCCAGAAGGACAAAGCAAGAAGGAAGGAATGATATGAGACACCTAAGATAAAAGGCAGATTCTCTAACATGCTTCCTGGCCAAAGAGTTAGAGTGAAAGGGACAAGATGGACACTCCTGAGGAAAGGAAAAGTTATTGTTATTCTCTGTAATAGAATGGACCTATTTGGAATAGTTTTTGCAGAGGGTCAGACTATTAATTCATGTTATGAATACCATTTTGTTTTAATCTGACTCTCTCTTTCTATTCTTAATACATTTTATATTACTGCAGCCCCTGTAGTTTTAGATTACTCTCTGGGAATTTCAAGCAGCCTGTTTTGGTGACATGAAAAAAAAGTCTTCAAGTGGGTGTCAGTGCGAATCCCACTGTAGGTGTGCATGTGTCTGGAAATTTTTGAGTAGGCCATGCATGTGCACTGTGCTCCTGTGTGAGTGCATAAAGGGCAGAACGACCATGATCCTCCCTCAGTTCCCTCTTACCCCCCCTCCCTCAACAGCGAGACAGAACCTGGACAATTTCAGACCTGCTAGTTCTTAGCTTTGACTAAATCTTACGCAGACCTTCTGAATCTGAAGTTCTTGAAAACACCTTTGATTACCTTCCTCTTTGATAGCTGTGATCATATTGACCCATCTTGACTGAGTACCAACAGTTAGACCTCCCTATACAGGCTGTCCTGGACTGACACACTCCCTATATAGATCCTCACCCTGCACAGGTCTCCTTAATATGGCAGACTTGAAACCTGCAGGCTTCAAGCCTTGTCCATTTTGCAATCATTCCAGGAATTCCTTGAGCAGATTGCCAAAACTCTGGAGCTAGAGATGGCAGATATCAGAAAAATCCCATAAGCTATTCAACATCCTCTCAGCTTTTGGTCCAGCCAGGATTACTCTCCTTATAAGGGGATTATTGGACCCAGCCAAGGCTCTGTGGCTGACATCTGTCATGGAAACACTTACTGCGAAATGGGT